GAGCGGAGCGCGGGCGGGGGCGGGGGCGGGGCGACCTCCAGCACCGCCCGCACCCCCGACATCTGCACCTTCTTCATGCACGGCAAGTGCCACAAGGTAAGCGAGCTTTTTGTCGCAGTGCAGCGTTTCATAACTTTAACACTTCTTTTGTTCCGGGAGGTATGGCTCAGGGAATCAACTGATGTCACTGCGGTCCCTCTGACCGGGAGGTCCTAGATTCGAATCTCGACGGTGCCAGGATGGTCGACACTAGCTTGTCAGCTAAGTCGAATTCAGACACAGTCCGAAGAAGAATTGTGGTGGCCGGCTGCTCTGATTGGTAGTTTTCAGAGGTTTCTCCGATCAACACCACGCGAATGCGAAGCATGCCCTAACAAACGGGCCACGGATCGCGCCCGATCTATCCCACCCCTTCGTTGTCCCATCCGCTCACACTTATACAAACATGCATTACACTCCCACATACCGAGAAACCGATCGGGAGCTTAGAGCTTATTCCGGGTGAAAGTGGTGCACCGCTGGTGGGAGATACCTTATTGAGGGAAACCCCGCTAGCCGACAGTAGGTCGTCGCCGGATCTCGCCATACAGCGAGGGAAGTCCACCGCCACCTCCCGAGAAAACAAAATGTACTACACTTACAGGATTAATACCCTAATATTTGAAGCCCGGAATCTTTAACAATCAATCATTTCATGTGTAACAAATGTCGAACAAAATATTCAAGGCTTCAATTTTAGCGTCATAGTGTCGCTGGATTTGCCACGAAAGAGAGAAATAGCTGGGAGGTGACCTACAAATGAGGATTGTGACAAACTATCAGTGTTTGTGAAGATAATCACGAGTCTTAAACCGGATGATTTTGGATTCAGGTTCCAATGGCGAAATTTTGATGCCAGCCAAATGAAATAGCCGAACATCACTGTCCTGAGGGGTCCGAGAAGCGGATTAGTATGACCAATAGGTTCACTCGACTTTCATCAGCGTCATTCTCCAACATATCGCACATGTTGGAATGTCATTTGACGAAGTCATGGACCACCCGACATGGATCATAGAAATATCAAAGAAAAATATACGTACAAACATTAGAAAGAAAAAAAAAGAACGTTATCTTGGAACAAGCGCACATTACGCTGTACCGGAGAAAAATTTTGGCGTTTCACTTTTGATATAGTCTCTTCTCTATTTAGTTTCCTATCACTCACTTTTCTTCTCTCTGCCATTTAGGAACTGACCATCTTATGTACATCTCTATATGTGTACCGGGAGGGTGAAGGTGAATCGACAATCGAATATAGGGTATGCAGATGCGGGATGCGATCAGTCTATATAAACGTTCTATATAACGTTATAACAACTATAACTAGGGTTGTCTTTCTTCCAGGACTTTTTCCAGCTTCAGGGGTATGTCAATTTCGACTAACCGCGTTGTGTACCCACCATGCCTCTTACGAGGACACATTAACCTTTTACACTAGACAAACTTGTGGGATCCTCGCCCTGTGGTCAGCAGACTCACTAGGCCTTTCGCGACAACACACATACATGAACGCTAAGGGACGAACAATCATGACCACGGTGGGACTCAAACCCGCGATCCTTGAGAGCGAGGAGCTGAGTCGGCACACGCCTAACCACCTCGGCCATTCAGGTCGACTTCTCAACTATAACTAGGGGTACATCTCGTTAATTCAACACTTTGTTGAATAGTTATGGAATTATTCATTATGATTTCATTGATACACCTAGTCAATATTTTCATTTAATGATCATGTGTAGCTCAAAAACTCCAACAAATTAGGGTCAGGATCATTTCACGAGGCTACAGTGTCTTAATTAGTACGCGTGTGGAGTTTCACTTAAGAGGACGTGACGACGAAAGCTGATTCGTTCTCTCATTATCGGGAGTCAGGGGAGTCGAGATATAATCTAAACCGAGGAATAATGAAGGTATGTGGTCCCTTATAAAATATTCTACGGATATAGTTAGTGTTTATTATTATCTCTTATAATCGATTACACTGAATACTTATTATTAGTGTATCTTTCGGCACTCAAATGTTCACAACGGCTCTTAGAGACGGTGTTTCAGAACGTGGCATACTGCACTGTGACCTGCGCCTGACATTTCATTTTAAGAATATATTAAGTTGCTAAATTGAAAAAGACGAGATGCAATAACATTAAAATGAATTTAATATATCATCAAATTACTCTAAAAACGATGGGCCTCAATGGCGCCTTCGAGCTCCATGGACCGCGAAGCGATGTACACGCTGTACCTCCTCTTCTCGGCCCTAGTCGTAGGAATGAGACCGGTCTGAGAAGTCGACTGTGAGGGTTACATTGTCCTGAACATTTCGTAAGCTACTCTCATGGAGAAGCGTGTAGTAGGGTCAAACAAGGCCTCCCTTTCCCAACAGTTATGGCTTAAACTCGATTCCTCTGGCGGACAAGACACTGCAAGGTGGGAAAACCTCCTCCACTTCTTTTTGCGCATGCGTAAACCAGAATTTGTTTCAAAGTTGACAAGCTATTTTAATACGTGGTGTAGAAATGCGATTTCAAAAATGATTGGTATAGATGTACGGGATTAAATGCGTGAGAGCATTGCTTCGCTTTGCTCCAGATGAACGAGTGTTCCTTCTCGCACGACGCCTGCCCCCCGCGCAAGATGGAGGTGTGCAGGTACTACCTGATGGACGCGTGCGCCAAGAAGAGCAAGTGCCTCTACATGCACCAGGACTTCCCCTGCAAGTTCTTCCACACTGGCCTCAAGTGCTACTCCGGAGACCGGTGCAAGTTCAGCCACGGCCACCTGTCGGAGACCATGAGAGCCATCCTCGCGAAGGTTGGTATGCCTGCCAGCGACCTCTGAATATTATGGGTTTTTTGCAAAACATTGTGTAAAACTTTATTAGGGAGCCACCAGATTTAAGGCATGTGTAGAACAATAAACCGGTCTAACTTTTGCCGCGAAGGTGACTTTGTGTTACCGCGCCTTTTAGAAAACTATTCCATTAAACTATGTTGTGTTGTCTTTACCAGAGGCTTTAGTAGACACAAAATGCACCTTAGGAGTCGTGCATTATCTATTACACCATTTAAAATCTGGATTCTCATTACTGTGTTGTTGCGTTTTTAGTTTTCAATTTTGCATCAATTAACTTTGCACTCATGTACCTCGAAAATTTGAGTTGCAACTCAGTAATTTAAAGGAGATTAAAGTAAGTGCCATATTTTGCAGCATTATTTATTAATCTAGTGCTTTAGTATCTACAGAGGTGGCCAACTTATTAGACTAGAGTTATTGAATAAGACAAAATGTATTTGCGACTAGATACTGACACTCTGTGTGCAGGGGTTTAATGTTTCATAAGCATTTCATAATTAACATATTTTTTGGGAGGTTCATTGAAAGTCAGTTTTTAATCCATTCTTTCCATTTGAGTGTCATTTTTCTATATGTGAATGAGTTGTTTTTATGGCCTTTTTTAAAATTTCCATTTAACTATCGAACGAATATTTTTGATGAGATTCATTTCAGGGCTATTTGGAGCCCATTGGAACCCAGACAGATCAATGTCTTGAAGATGTTTTCCAACTTTCTTTCCTGTTGTGATAGAGAGCGTATAGTCATTATTTTTTTCCAAACTCATTTATCTAAGGGAACCGTTGGTTCTTTTGAGTCTCCAAGTATTGGTGGTCCCTCATTGTACCATAAGCAGTGAATATATTGCCAATAACATTAATAAACATTACTCTTCAAACAATTACTTTTTACATGTGCTTCTCATGAGTTATTAAATCCGTTACGAGAGAGAAAAATGTTTAGTCTAATAACATGGCCACTTCTGTACCCTCTGACTTTCTTAGTTTTTTTTACATTTGAGAGAGAAATGCACAAAGGTCGGAGGGTAGGGCACGTGGTGTGTTCATGGCAGCACCTGAAGGCGGTGCCGAAGGCGTACGCGGGCAAGGGCGCGCCGCGCATCGGCCTGGGCCCGGCCCTGCTGGACGGTCCGCCGCACCCGGCGCCGCAGCCGCCCACGCACCGCATCCCGTCGCTGTTGGAGCTGCAGGTGCCGGTGCCGGCGCGGCTGCGGGGGCCCGCTTGCTGCCGCGCCCGCCCGCCTCTCGAGCCCGTCTATCGGCCTCGGCCTCGGCCCCGGCCCTGCCGTGCCCCGGCCCCGGCCCCGGCCCCGGCCGGCCCCGCCGACGCCGCCGACAGGGAAGGTGTGCGCGCGTCCACTACTTTCATTTAGATTTAAATTTATTTTGTCAGAGAAAACAGTAAAAACTGATATGACGTATGGGGAAAAATGCTCATTTGCGCACGTTTTCTTGAATTCCAGAATCTCTTCCCAACACTTTAACTATAAATAGTTGAAAGATGAGTAATTTTTTTAAATTAAAATTGTGGGAGATTGCAACGTTTGAAAAACTAAACATTTTCGTTACCGAGTTATAGAAAACTTATTTGCAACAGTAAACGAACTGCTCATTTGATTTTTCTGCATTGCTAACAAAATAGTAACTTACCCATATCTGTGCACCTACCACTACAAGCAAAATGAGAAGTCATCAAAATGTGCGCATAGAGAAACTACATTTATGTCCAGAAGTGAAACAAGGGGCCAACTCAACATTTTTTCAATGAATTTGGGATACGGCACAAAAACCTGATCGAGATGGGGCTCATTGACCCGGAAGCTGAACTTACTTCTCAAAACTTTAATAGTTGTCTACGAAAGAAGTATTATTACTAAGGGTGAATTTTAATGACACAAAACATCGTCTAAATGATAAATAAAATGTTCCTAAAATGTTTTCAAAAATCCCTAAATGCATATAAAATAATGTAAAAGATTTGATCAAAACCAGTTGAGATGAACAACTCAAGCTGTTGGATAATATCCAACATTACATCAGCAAAATATGTTACTGATGTAATTCCTTTCGTTCAAGTAAACTTAGCTTACAAACTTTGCGTTTGGACTGTTGTTTACAAGGAAATCTGTCTTAAGTTATCCCGAAATCGGTCAAACTGATAACGGCGCTGAAAGGCACCCAGAAACCTTAGATAACATACAAATGCTGACATTACAATTTCTGACCGAAGAAACCGAATAGGCTATTCATGAATCTGTGGAGAATATTTGTTGCATCTCCTAAATTTTATTTGTAGGAAGTACCATTAAAATTGATGAAATGGGTGAAAATGCTTTAAAAATATCGGAATAGGTAAAAACTGATTTATTTGTCGAAATCAAGGAAAATGCAAAAAATGTCATACAATGGGTCATTCACATTGTAATAACATGAAATGTACTGAAAGGCATTGTTCTAAAGCGAAAAGAAAAAATGACATTTCATTAAAATCCACCTTAGACATCTTTTTACTAAACGAGATTGGAAAATTAACATATGAACCGTGTTTGATATCCAATCGGCTATTGTCATAAGATGTTACGATCAGAATATAGTGTTACTTTTCATCCACTTGTAAAGATTCCAAACTATTATATTTCATTACATTTACCAGACGACCCGCAATATGTGTTACAATTTTTTTAATAGTAGTTTACAGAATTAGTTTTTATCTGCTTATTTCTAAACTTATTGTATTTTCTGATAGTAAACCATTGATTATATTAGAATATTTTATTGGTTCATAGGACAAAACTGAGATTGATAGTAGATATCCATGAAAATGGAGAATTTTATTATTGGCTTTTATCAAGTGATACATTAAAGGTTCATAATATCTTATTCAAGGTTGAGCAATGTATTGTTGAGGCTTTTCTGCCTAGAAGGCCGTCAATTTTGTTGTTTTCAACGAAGAAATTCGTTGTTCCTCTAGGCCACTTTATTCTTAGTTAACAAAAAGTCATCCAAATAGTGAATGATTGACATATTCCAGGGTTCGGCAATAAACAGGGGGGAAACTTCGCGTTTACGGGTGATAGGATGATTTTAGTATCATCTCTTGGTGTTAAACGTTGAGCAAACGCGTTAAGAAAAGATGCTCAGGGCTAGAAACAAGTTTAGACGAGTCAAGATATGTGGTTTGTTAAGGTCATTTTCGAGGTGTTCCACTTTAAACTCAATACTGCGGAACAGTAGTGATCCACAATTCGCGTAGTTCTGACTATAAACCTGAAGATCATTCAGTGGTGACCAAGGTGAGGTGTGAGAATGAGGGAGTGAGCATTTCGTGTTTCCGGCGAGTCAACTACTTTGGTTATTAGACCCGTGAGCGTTCTGCATATTATATCAGCGTTTGCGATGTCCCTGCCACGCAGTTCTTTGCCTCTCGAGCTATCTTCAAGACAAGCTCTAAGCTCCCGACTGGTAGCCTGACATGCGCGGTAGTGTAGTGCGAATCTGTAAGTGTGTGTGTGTAGGGAAGAGGTCACAAGGACGCGAAAGGAAAGAATTCGTGCGGTCCCTGGGCTCTTTGACTGCTCCGACATTCCTCTAGTATTGAGTAGATAAACTACGAGATGTTAACGATAAGAGCAGCTAGAATTCTCCAGATAACGGCTGGATCCTACCTAGTCTGTCACCGTCGGGGCTTATACCCTAGGTCCTCCTGGCTAGGGTTTCTGTAGCGGAAAGGTTTGTCACTGAGCAACGAGGTGGCGGTGTTCCTCCTTCACTAGGAGGTTATATGCGGTCTACACATCGTCTTCGAGCATTTTCCCTTCCAGGTATCTGCCTCATCAGGTCAGATCTCTGTCGTAGATCAGAGCCTGCCTAGATGGGGAATCGACCCGCCCACAAACGTTACCTCCACTAGAACAACACTGTTGGTGATGTTGAATTATTTTGCATTAATGCAGACATATGCGTGCCGCCTGTAGGCCAGGACGGCTCGTCCACCCCTATGCCGCAGTCGCCCGCAGGCGACGTGCGAGGGTTCAATCGCTTGTGGGGCGACGACCCCGACGGCGCTCCCGCCCCCGCGGCCGCCCCCGCCCTCTCGCCCGGCGTCAGCGCCCTCGCCCGCGCCGACGGCGACTTCCACAAGTGGCGGCCCTTCGACGAGTAAGTGCTACCTGTCTAGGGTATAAAGCAGGCGAGGAAACTGACTTCCTAGAGTGGCACTGTGTCCGCCCAGGTGAAAAGAACTATGTGATCAAAAGTATCCGGACTTGTCCAAAATGATGTTATGGTGTGATCGTGTTTTTCATGGAGGGGGCTTGCGCCCCTTGTTATTTTGTGTAGCACTATCACGGCACAGGCCTACGTTGATGCTTTAAACACCTTCTTGCTTCGCACTGTTGAGCAATTTGGAGTTGGTCATTGCACCTTTCAACACAATCGAGCATATGTTCATACTGCACGGCCTGTGGCGGAGGGGTTACATAACAATAACATCCCTGTAATGCCTTGGCGTGCACAGAGACCTGACTTGAGTTGTATCGAACACCTTTGGGATGTTTTGGAACGCCGACTTCGTGACAGGGTTCATCGACCTACATCGATACCTCTCCTCAGTGCAGCACTCTGTGAAGAATGGGTTTCCATTCCCCCCAAAACCTTCCAGATCTTATTGAAAGTCTGCCTGCGAGGGTGGAAGCTGTCATCAAAGCTAAGAGTGGGCCAACACCCTATTGAATTCCAGCATTATCGATGGAGGGCACCACGAACTGATAAGTCATTTTCAGGCACCTGTCCGGATACTTTTGATCACATACTTAGATTGGTAGAGCTGCCCCTGCAAGTGAATTCAAGCGGGAGAAGGTAAGATGGCAACTCTTGCCTTCACTTAAACGGGAAGCATTGCCATGATAGTCCTACTTAAACAATTTTTTTTATTGAACTTAATTTTTTTGCCTACCGCAATCATTTTGCAAAATTCAAAGATCAATAAATGAACACTTGTTGCGGTAGTAATTACTCTAAATGATGTTTTATAGGCTAAAAAATGAGAGTGGAGTCAGGGGAAGTTGCCCGTGCTGGCAGGGGCGCCAAGCGGCCCAGGCGGGCGAGTAGCACGTGCGGGCGCGTGGTGCCACTATAAAAGTCAAACCTTCGTTGGCGCGTTAATCTTCAAACTGGAGACAAGCTTTGAAAGAAACGCAATTTAAAAAGATGGCTTACATTTCAATAAATAAAATTGCATTGAGTATTGTATCATCAAATTTGGGTCGTATCCCTTAACCGGAAATAACGAATCTGCTGCGAGAAGGTAAGCACATCAGGAAGATTGAATAATGACTCATTTAAATTTCGAACATTGCTCTCAAACAAGCGTACATAATCCGTACCGATCGGAAACAAAATTATTTTGAACTAAATGTGCGTTGTAAATTATTTTTTGCACATAGTAATCTTAAAGGACAGAGTCTCATCGCTAAATCGAAATTCATAGCGAATCTTGAAATGAGTATTAGAAGTATTTGACCATTAAATTTGTTAGAAATTATGCGTTGCACAGATTCAGTTAATATACATTGAAACATTTTGTAAATATTCAATATGTCCTATCGTTCGCAACTTCCCTGAGTTTCTCGAGGTATTCTTAAAATTTAAATAATCTTTCATTTATTTCTAATGTCAAAAAAGGATTAGTAGCTATAAATAACTATTGCCATCTTCGTACTCCAATTTTTATATTCCTTACTGATTCATGCACAGTAAAATATTTATGAACTGTGGAATACGTTCAGCACTGAATTCTTTGAAGAAAAACTCATAGAATTGAAAGGGGAATTATTGAATGTAAGTAATCTGTTTTTGTCTTATTAGTCTGTCATTTCTGCCCTAAAATTATTATTTTTTAGGTACAAAATATTCAGTTGCCGCCTCGTATTTCTGTCTCCTTCGAGCAACAAACTGTCTAAAAATTATAATTAAAATGAATTTCTCCGTTACGTTAAAATAAACAATAAAACAATACATTTTCAACTAATTATCCGCATCAAATAACAAATTTATTTTTTACAAGAGACGCTAATCAGAAATATCCGGGCGGAAATCCGAATGTATACTTGTTAATAGCAACATCTGGAATTTTTATTTTATCTGTTAATGAAAATGGTCTTCAAAAACATGTTCATAAAAATGTAAACTACTTCAACCTTTTTTAATTGTTTAATATAAAATAAAATTAAGAGCGTTGTCCCACAATATGAGTTGCTAACAAAAGGCCCACACTGAAAACTAACAATTGTTTTCGCAGGCGCTCCTTGTTTGCGACGTCAAACGGCGGAGAGATGTCCTTGCCAACTGATAGCAACGCTGAAGAAAGCACGAAAGGTAAATAATATTCAAATGATATTGTATATAGCGATCATCCAAAACTGAAATACTTAATTTCATATTGCTTTAAAGATTTTGACAAGATCGAGAGTGAGGTTTTTTGCCGAGAATGATAGGCCAAAATTGTCAAGGAGACAATAATTTCACTCACAAATATTTTTAAAAAATACTTCTACGACCGCATGAAATACTTAAATTATGAATCATGATTAGTTTCATTGAAACAGGGTTCGCATCTGGTCGGCGAACGTAGGTTGATGGGTATTTTTTGCGCCATAAGGTCGTTTTTCAGAGGTCTTAATAAAAATCTAACTTCACGCATGGCTCGCGTTACGTAAAACCGTCTATATTGATACGATCGTAGAAAAAGAATAGTACGCCTAAAGGAAACTCTGCAAATAGGCACTGTGGCGTTGCAGGGCTCCCGCTGCACCTGCCCAAGCGCCAGCTGGAGCTCTTCCTGCGCATCCAGAAGCAGCAGCGCGACGCAATTGCCGCCAGCGTAAGTCAGGTAACACCGCACCCGCCCACGCCCACACCCACGCCCACGCCACGCCCCTCTTCGCCCGTCGTTCTCGAGGAGACGCTCCCGTTGCAGAATAATACGTGAAACGCCTTTTGACGAATGCCTCCTGCATTTTAGCAAACGTGCGCATGCGCAGTGATTGGTTGATTGATAGTGATTCCAGGCGCGTCAATCGCTAAGATCATAAGTGTAGTGATTTTTTTCCTGGAGAGTTGGCGGTGATCTTCTGGATGGCGAGATCCGGCGCTGACCTTCCGTCGGCTAGCAGGAATCAGGTATCTCCCACCTCCCAACCAGGTATCTCCCACCGCCCCACCCGGGACAAGCTCTAAACTCCTGACCGGTCTCCCGGCAGGTATGGTAGTATAGTGCATGTTAGTGTAAGTAAGGAGTGAGGATAGGACAAAGAAGAGGAAGGAAATATTGCACGCGGTCCGTTACCCTTTTGTTAGGGTACTGCTCCGACATTCGCCTGGTGTTGATCGGAGAAACCACGGAAAACTACCGATCAAAGCAGCCGGCCTCTAGAATTGTCGTCCAGACTGCGACTGAATTCGACCTAGCTGACAAGCAAGTGCCGAAAATCCTGTCACCGTCGGGACTTGAACCTATGACTTCCCGGTTACATGCAAAGTGAGAATTCGAGACTTTCCCAACCCACACTGCGCCCCTTTTTCATTTGATATATTGAATGACTGATAATGATTTCGTGTTTCCCCCGGTGTCAACTGCAAACACATCCCGTAAGTGTAGTGCGTGTTTTTATTATGGGAGGTGGTTGGTTTCTTTCCCGCTGGACGGTGAGAATTGATGACCTAAACGTCGCCTTGCTGTGTTTTCTCGAAACAGGTAACTCCCTCAAGCGGGCTATCGCCTCAGCCGGGTCTAAGCCCTCATGTGGGATAGTATAGTGTGTGTAAAGGGTCAGGACAGGACAAAGAAGATGCAGGAAAGATCGCGCGTGGCCCATGGTTCTTTTGTTCAAGTACAGCTCTGGCATTCGCCAGGTGTTGGACGGAGAAACCACGGAATATTACCGAGCTGCTGGAAGTCTGCTACTAACAGTGATTTAATTCGACCTTGCTAATGTATCTGGGTAGTGTTGAAAATCTTGTCACCGTCGCGTCGAAACCCTAAATGTGGCACCTCCAAGACAGGCACTACATCGACGACAGCTGATGCCTTGACACACCTGTCTGTCGATAATTGAGATTCCATTGTATTTGCGCAACAAACTGTAATCGGGTCATTTCATATTAAGAGATCCAGAATTATATAAATTGGTTGCCTCACAATTTCCGACACAACTAACAATTTGTGTATACTAAATTCCTTTATGTTTTGTTTGATCAAACTCATTTTTAATATTATTTCAGGTTTAAATTTAGTTTTATGCTTATTTATAATAAGATTTTCAAATAAGGTAGATTTCAGATCAAAATGGCTGGAAAATAATATGAATACTCCTCCTCACCACTTCCCTCCATTTGTGGAAATGATTTTTTATATATTATAATTAAGTTATAATATTTAAAAAATTTAATTATAATTTTAATTAGTTATAGTTTATTAGAAGTTTTTAGAAGTTATACTTTTTTTAGTCAAATCTGAAAGTTGATATTTATACGGTAGTTTGGTATCTCGATCTTGTCCATGTACAAATTCCAAATTTTATCTAGTCCCTCAATAGATATTACAGTTTAAAATTTGGAGAAAATAAAAATACCACTTTTTAGGAGGGTGCTTTTTTAAGTTGTACGCTACTTGATGTATGAACACACGGTGCACAATTGGAATGGCGTTTTTAGTTAACTTTGGAATACACAGTATTATATAACAGAAGAGCATAGCACGTTCGTCACAGCGTGTCCGGCGTCCAGCGTTTGTCTGTCTGACGAGCGGTGTACAGTCAGGCCGTTGCGGTAGTTTCTGGCGCGCTCACAAGGTGGCGCCCTTTGTCTATCATACAACACTACTTATCATTGATAATTTACGTAAAATGACTACACGCTATTCCTTCTATTCCGCTATTTAACGCTATTCCTTCTTTGAAAAATTACTCTATGAAAATCGAAATTTGTTCATTTGCGTTCGATAGTTTTGGTTGCAAATTTGCCAAAATAAAAGGACATTAGGTAAATAAATATCACTTGTATGCCAAATTTACTGCATCCAATGCATTTTGTTTAGCTACAACAACCTGGCGCTGAATATAAAAATGTCTACAAGTCTACGTCTTTGTAAATGCCTAAGTAAATGGCTACAAGCATGAAAAATGGCGCGCGACATAAAATAAAAATTATCGCCATTCGTGAACCAAGTACAATAATTTTTAACACTGTTTCGAACAACCAAAACATAAGGGAATTTATGCACAAAGTATGATTTTTTTCGGAGATAGTCAAGGAACCAATGCTGGACAATTTAAAATGAATTGACTTAATTGGGAGGCTGAGCGACACACCCGTCTCCCGGATCAGTTTCAGTGGCAGTCCGCTTCAATGAATTTGTTTTGAATTTTCCAGAGCCAGACGTGTAACGAGGCGGTGGACAGAACGCAGGAGCAAGGTTGCTCTAGCGATGAAGACGACACCTTGAGTAACATAATGGAGACCATCACTAAAAAGGCAATTAAACTATGTAGTACTTCGTATCACTTTCTGTTAAAAATTACGGAAGCGCGTTCTCAATTTTTTACTTCTTTTTTTTTTGTATGCGTTTTTTTTGCTATTGTCTCGTATGTAAACAACAATAATTGCAATACCTTTCCACACTCAAACATTTCTTCAAAAAGATACATTAACATAAATTGTATTACACACGTTTTAACGAATACATTTTAATGGTCGCAATGTGGGGCCTTATTGCGAGGAATTGTAGGAATTCACATTCAGTTACTAAATTCTTGTTTATTTCACTAGAGTCAGGACATCGTACAGAAGAATGACGCATGTCCGTCTGTCAGTAAATCTTCACCAAATCCGAGCTTACCCCTTGAAATGCAAGAACTCCGAAAGATCCAGAAAGACGAGTCGGTGATCAAGCTGCTGTCCAGCATTGATCTGAAGAACATCCTTGACACGGCCAGCGCCGCCTCAACGTCGACTGCGGGCCTTGTCACCAGGTGAGTCGCCTCTATTGGAACGCGCCGCATTTCATCATATTTAACCTCTATCTGGTGGCTGATTACGTCTTTCGTGTTCCTTGCGTGTCAACAGCTACAGTCATTGTCTCGTAAATGTAGTGCATATTTTATCACGGGTAGCGGCGGTGTTCTTCCCTAACTAGATGGTGAATTTCAGCGCTGACCTACATGTCGCATTGTGGGTTTTCCCCATTTAGGTGTCTCCCACCGAGGAAGCGCCTCCATAGGGATTCCGCCCCCGCCTGGACAAGCTTTAAGCTACCCATTGGTCTCCCGATATAGATGGTAGTGTCATGCTTGTTAGTGTAAGAAAGGATTCATGATAGGACAAAGAATAATAATAATAATAATAATAATAATAATAATAATAATAAAGGGGTAGAGGGGTGTTAACAACACCAGTGAACCAGGGCAAGCCCTTTGTTCCCTCATCATTGATATACCGACCCAGCCAACCCGGTGCTACCTTCGGTCCCAAGGGCGGTCTCAAGAGCCCGGCGGTTCTGACACCCTAAGCGGAGGAGATCAACAGATCTTCACTTCGGCCGGGACTGTGCCCTTCCACATTTTGATGATTACCGACAGTTTCATTTTTCTCAGCTGAGAAGGATCAAAGGAGGAGGCACCACAGACCCCACGCCTTTGTTCACTCAGACCAGAACAAAGGCATAGGACATGTAGTGTCTCCTCCGGATGAGCATCGCACCATCGACACGAGGGCAATGCCACCAGGCCCATCTTAGACAGGTGAAAGTTCAGGCGCGCATGGCCAGTCAGCAGACTCACGATCAGCCTTGCATCTCGCCTGGACATAAGTTCGAATTCCTTCGCCCATTCAGGGTGTAGTTCGCTACCCAAGGCCATATTGGCCTGTCTATTTCCATCTTGTTCACGCCATCTCTTCAAGTGTTCTTTGTCCAACCAATCTCGAATCGTGGACTTGATAACACTTTTAGAGGGTCCGGGGCTTTCGATCACATTGCGTGATCTAGTATACATTTTAGCTAGCTTGTCAGCCATAATGTTACCCTTAACATTAGAATGGCCAGTGACCCACCATAAATGGAGGTTACAATATCCTCCCAGATGGTTCAATGCCTCAATACATTCCTTAGCCACTCGTGATGTCACTCTCATATTGTCAAGTGCTATCTGAGCATCTGCCACTGTCCACTATCTCCTCCAAGGCCATCCTGGCGCACCTTAGATGTCGGTCAGTTCAGCTTGGAAGATTGTGGTATGTTCCTTCATAGCATAGAATTTCTTAGTACCTCCTCTCTTGCGATAAATTCCTATGCTAACTTTGTCCTCCTTTTTTGATGCATCCGAATACCATATGTCGCCGTTTGGCGGGAGTTCAGCCAGGTTCGCATCATAGCTTACCTGCCCCGTAGACAATCTAATCCTAAACCTCTTTTCAAAACAGAGGTGTCGGATAGTGTCCGCTGGGCCAATTGGTTTAAGACTACACATTGTCCT